AGGTGGATAAGTACGTCGAGGGATCGGTCTCGACCTCTTAGCTAGATGAGGTAATTCTCCTCGATGATGAGGACGATGGCCTAAGGGTCAGCCCTTCTGAAGGGCATGGTTATGGGGTGGTGTCGACTAGTGGCATCTCGGGGATGGTGACAGACGTCAATCCATTGAAGATAAAGCCCTGGGTTGCCATGAGGGCGTTCAACGATGCGGGGATCGACGCTAACAATTTTTATTTTATTATCCCGACCCCCAACGATAGGGCCCACAACCCCCTACCAATCACATGACCATCTACATGCATTCCCTCAATTTTGGGTAGACTTTGCCCTTTCACCCTTTCGTGAAGGCCCTTTGTGGCCTCCACTGGATTTCCCCTGCACAGTTGTCACCCAATTACTGGGTGATAATAAACTCCATGATCATCTTGTGGAGAAAGTTTTTGAAGCTCGACATAACCGTCGAGGAATTTTTATATTGCTATGCCCTTAGGAGTTCCCCAGGCCAGAGAGGGTTTTTCTACTTTGGCTCCCACTCCAAATCCAAACCTCCAGTTCCCCCTGTAGTGGTCGAGAAGACTTCTAGTTGCCACAGCTGGAAGCCCCAGTTCTTTTTCCTGGGTGGCAACTTTACCTCTCACCCGCTCGACAATGAGCGTCCCTTGGGGACGCAGACAGTATTAAGCAAATACTGTAGGTCTCATTTTGATTGAATTTTTGTAACATCTCCCCCTCCGTCGAGCTATCATACATACGTTGCTCTTCACTGTAGGTGAAGTCTGCACTCGACCGAAGCTTTCTTCAGCTGCTCTAGCACGAGTTGAACAAATCCTATCCTTTTCTGATTCTAAAGGAAGCTTTACCTTCTCAATACCCCAGAGAACCGTCGGCTGTACGGGTTGGTGGTTACCCTCGACCTTCTGCACCAGCCTATTAAGCCCCCTGCAGATCTCATCAATGGTAAGTTGGACCTTACATCCCCTCATCTTTCAGCAGAAGAAAATGGGAGTGGTCGAGGGATTCTTAGGTCTAACATTTTCTTTACCGTGCTGCCGTGCCGTCCACCATGAGGTACATTGTACTACCAAAACTGAGGAAAATGGGCGCCTCCTCCAGGTCGTCGAGCCAGCCGACAGTCCAAGTTCCTCAAGCCCCTAGCGCCACTAAAGTCCCCGTCCGGGGGAAGTTTGCGATCACCCCCGGTTCTAAGAGACCAAGGACGGAGGAACCGTAAGACCCTTCGTCGGTCGAGGGGTCGTCGTGGGCACCTTGACGTTTGAATAAGGGAACCTAGAGGTCCCTCATGTTCCTGAGGGGCCCCTTGTGATGCTGAGGACAAGGATCAATGACCCCCAATTCCTAGTTTCGGATGTGGTCGATCAAGACCTTAATCAGGCACTGCGCCTCTCCTCTCGCTTCAGCCTTCCCATCCAGGCCATCTACACGTACTTTCACCCAGACCCCTGGGACAAGTTTGTAGGGATGGGCCTCCTAGAGTGCCTGCGCATAGCGATGATCCATCAAATCTTGGTAGGTTTTGTTTGCTCACTTCTCGGCATCCGTTATCACATAGTTGATCTTTGCGTCTTATGCCCTTTCTTTTCGTTCTCTAGGCTCTCGAAACTACACTCCTGAATTATGTGGAGCTTGAGGCTTTGCTATGGCAGGGCATCCCATCTAGGGCTACTGAAGAGGAGCTTATGACTCTGCGCGCTGCTATGGAAGAGCTCTTCTCGGACTTGGATACTGAGAAGGCCAAGGTCAAGTCTCTTAAGGAGGTGATTGCCAAGGAGAAAGGTGAGAGCTTCGAGAAGGGCTTCAAGGAGGGGTGCTCTCAAGCGGTCGAGGCGTACCTTGCATCTCCCATCTTGCAGCAGAAGAAAAGGGAAGTGGTCGAGGAATTTCTGAAGTCAGAGGAGTTTTGCCGCTCAGTCGACGCTCAACTTGAGGATTTTAAGTCGTCCCGAGAGTTCAAGGGTATAGTCGAGGAGCAGGTGGAACAGTTCAAATCCTCGGAAGCCTTTGATGATCTTCTTACTCAGAGGCTCGATACTTACCAAGCCTCTGCTGAGTTTGAGGAACTCCAACTTTCCTTGATGAAGTCTGCTGGGGACCAGATTCTCGACCGCTTCCGAAGGAAGTGCCTAGAGGTCGACTTGTCTTTCCTCGATGAGTCCGACGAGGAGGAGGTAGAGGTGGTCGAGATCACGCCGGGTGCTGAGGATGATGAGTAGGCACCAAAGGATAGGGCGGTGCTCTGAGGATTTTTCTTTCTTGATTTATTTATATATGTCTTTCTTGGAGGCCGTTAGCCCGAGACATTAAATTTGTTGTTCTGTAATGGCCATAAGATCGAGACTTACTATTATAATTATTATTATTTGCATATATATATACAGGTGCCTATTTTGCGTATGAATGCTGTGGACACACTATTTTTTGGCTACGTCTGGTTAAGCCAGGCCTTACCACCTTTACAGACTTTGGTGTGGCCTTATTGCTCCCTCGTCAAAGATAGTCTTTGACATGTCTTTGACGCAACATTGGTTAACAGTTATCGGTCGACGTAGATAGTAGATCTTTGAGTATGTAGAGCCAAGTTAAGTGTGATGTAGTATTTTGCATAGATCAAGTAAGTAGAAAATTCAATCGGATTTTTATTTATGTAGAATTTACAAGTCGACTTTTCAGCCTGCAAAAATAAAATAGACAACAGAATAAAAATGCTAAGTGTAACCTTTAGGTCGACCTTTCTCACCATTATTGGAAGTAGGTCTTCAGTTGGTCTGCATTCCATGTGTGCTTGATGTCTCGACCATTTATTTCTGGGAGTCGGTAGGTTGCATTAGCCACAACCTCCTTTATCCTGTAAGGTCCTTCCCAAGTTGGGCCCAAAGCCCAGAGTTCTTGGGCTTAGTATTTGGGGTTACCACTCGTAAGACGAGATCTCCTACTTTGAACCGCTTATGTGTGACATTTCTGTTGTAGTACCTAGCAGTTCAGGCTTGGTACGTGGTGAGCCTAAACTATGCGTCTGTGCGCCTTTCCTCTTAAAGGTCGAGCTCCAAGCCCATTCGCTCGGCGTTCCTACCTTCTGTTGGTTACTAAATCGAATTCAGATGCGGAAGCGTGGGTAAGAGCGGATCAAGTATAACAAAAATTTTCATAAAACCTTTGAGATACTCTATAGATGACATTAATTTATGTACGAATAAATTAATCACATTAATTTATTTATTAAGAACTCAATTAGGAATAATACCTGGCGGCCGATTAGGATGATAACTTGAGTTCGTTGACCTCGAATAATCCTTGCTCCAAAGCCTTGTGTTTAGAAAACCAATGTCTTCCACGTCAATTTCTAGAATCCATGAAAACGTGTGTGTGGGCACACCTAAGACAAAACGGATTAGAATAAACACTCAAATTTCCACAAACACCAACGCATGCACGATGTGCAATTTTTGAAGAAAATTTTTTCCTTCCCACAATAAGAGAATTTCGGCCACAATAAAATATTAGGTCAAAAAATTGTTCAAAAATCGCGTCTCACAATTTTCTATCATTCTCTTATTTATAGAGTAGAAGTCAAACTTCTAGAAGAAATCCAATCTCTATCTCCAATATAAAGCTTGTTAATTATCTCCTATTTGAATTTAGAACAAAATCTCCTCTTCTCTTTTATCCATTATGGCCGGCCACAGATAAGGGATTTTATCCTTGTGTAGGCACCAATATCATATAGGGAAGGAAGAGAAAATCATCATCTATCTTGCAGTCTAATTTTGACTCAAATTCAAATTCCAATTTAAGTCAAACTTAAATTAATTTGAATTCTAAATTGAACAACTTATCAAATAAGTTTAAGTGGATAAAACTAGATGTGTTCAAATTCAAATTTAAATAATCACATTATTTAAATAATAATTAATTCTCAGTTAATTATTTTCGAGTGTTTAATTTTTAGAATTTCATAATTCTAAAATTTCTATTTTACCCTTTGTGTCTGGGAGAATTACAAGGACGACGCGGGGACTAATGGACCTATAATCCTGAGCTCCAATAAAATTAATAATTAATTAAACACTTTAATTAATTAATTACTTATATTAATTCTAATAGTTACTCCACTATAAACTTGGAATTGCACTATCGAAATTATAGACATAAATTACTTCTAAACTGTGAAGTGTCCATTTGATATAGTCATTGCATATAGATCAATCCTCCATAAATAATTCATAATTAGAGCTAGATAGAATCCGTTAACCTCTCTAATTATATCTTTATCCTTGAGTACCATTGATTCTCTAATGGACAGTGATTCATAAAACACAATCATGAATCGAAGCTCCTACTAATCCAAGTACCGAATCAACCCTCATGAGAATTATTTATCTACTTCTTTCTCAGGAAGGAATGGATTCCATCTCGTATAATAACATTCCCGGCTACGTACTTCATCTTGTCTCCAAAATACAAGGAATAGGATTCAAGATCTCAGAATCCGTACTGAGTAAATCAAAAGACACAAATCCATAAATAGGAGTCTATTAAGAACTCAGGATTAAGATCATTCTATATATGGCCATCAGTAGAGTTAATTAGAATTTCTATACTTAACAGAAATTATTAGAAATTCATATTATTTATGCGTCCCTGTTCCACATAATCTCATTATGCGTAATACACTCATTCAATATCTCGCTATATTAACAGTGCGGATAACACTGTTCCATTCTTAATGGGAATGACATGTATTTGTAATATTCTAATGAAAGATTCTGAACTTTAATTAAATTTATTACGAACATGACTTTTTGATTATTATCCTTAAACATTATCCTCTCACATATAACACTTATATACCATGTTTAAAGTCACATAAATAATCATGGAATTTTCATTTGATATTCATAAAATATTCGTAAATATATGCACATAAAATAATGAATAAACTCTTTTATTAAATAAATAATAAATATCCTATTACATCTTATGCTTCTAGGACACCATTCCAACACCTTCTTCATACCATATTACTCGGCTGGTAGGAATGGATATCTCGACTGGAAGGACCGCTTCCACCCCGTAACCCATTGAGAATGTAGTTTCCCCTTTGGTAGTCCTACTGGTTGTCCTGTAGGCCCACAGAACCTTTGGTAGCTCATCTGCCCACTTTCCTTTGTAGCTATCGAGCTGCCGCTTTGGCATAGCTTTGACCTGTCCGTTAGACTGGGGATATACAATAGAGAAAAAGTTCTTGTGGATACCTAGCAATTCACAGAACTGGTTGGTGTTATCATTGTTAAACTGTCTCCCTGTTGTGTGATTTGTGCTCATAAGTGCACGAGTCGCCTCAAGTAATAAAGTGTGAATAAGATTGACGATCCCACGAGGATTAAGTCACCAATAATATAATGTAAAAGTCACCTCAAACACCAAATTTGATAAAAGAGTCAACTAACTACAATTCAATAAACTAATTAGACAGAAAGGAAGCAATGTAGATGCAACACGAAGTAGTGAAGATAACGAGAATGCAGCTATAGATCTTAATTCAATGATTAAATGGGCTAGGACTATTGATTTCACCTTAGTTGTAAGTCAGGCCTTAAAATGCTACAAGAATGCTACAACATTTTTATTCCAGTCAACTGAAACTCAATTTTTGCATAAAATTCTTCCGAATTAATTATGAGTTAAATTCTTCAAACCATTTCCAGCATATTCCTATGTGAATCTAGTTCTCAGATTACAGATCTCAGTACTGGTTCCATTTAGTTATGCAAGATGAATAATATATTCCTATACCATTCACAAATTAACAAACTTAAACAAGCATATTGAACTTGCGTCATCTATGTTAGATCCAACTCAAATTAACCTTTCCAGTATTAATTTAAAGTCTTGTATCCTATAGTTGATAACCAATAAAAAATATGGATAAGCATTAAACATACATAGATGAACAGGAATAAAAACTCAAGCAACTTAGAAATTAACTATCATCCTTATAATTTTAGTTCCATTAACAATCCTAGCTAAGAACAACTTAACTCATGGTTGAATTTGCAAAAATTAAATTCTCAGTATAATTCATTGTTCAATAAAATTGCAAATCCAGAGAGAAATTAAATACAACAGAGAGATAGAAAAGAGTTTGACTGATTTGGAGCTTCAATCTTTTTCTCCTCCTTTTCCTTCTTCAAGCGAGCTTCCACTGGGTGAAGACAGCTGAATCCTCTTGAGTATTAGTCTCTGTTCTGCACTGATATAGCTCTCTATTTTTTTTTTTCTTTTTTTCATATAAATGGCATAAAGCCTTATTAATGCGTCTCCTTATTTTTTTTTCTTTTGGTTTTCTTGGGGTCTGTGCTCTAGGCTTAGGGCGTAAGGTGGCTTCCCTTTTCTGGTGACTACAAATGGATGGGATATTAATCCCTCATGTTCCTCTGCGTTAGTGAAGTAAGAGAGAGGCTCAAGGGTTTCTGATGTCAACTAGACATGTGGCGAGTTAGGAGTAGTGAAGGAGCTAGTGGGATCCATGTGGTAGAAGCGGAGAAGGTGAGACGGAGGCTACATACAGAATAGGTGGAGCGCGAAGCAGACAATTTCACTCGCTAGATGATGAGTGCTGACGCGTGGATATGACCTGGTTTGAATTTTCTCTAAACTTTTGACCCCATTCAAGCTTTATCTTTTCATTTTAGCTCCTTTTTCTTTGTACTTTTGACCCCATTACATTTCAAACTTTTCACTTATGTCCCACTGTTACACAAATAAGAACATTAATTATTTTAGAAGGAAAACTAAAATAGAAATTACTAAAACTAAAGTAAATAAAATAAAATAAATCTAAAATGAAAAGTAAATTCATTAACATTTAAAATAAAGTAAAGTAAAATAAAATAAGCTAAAAATCTCAAAAATTAGCCACTTTAAATGCATAAAATAGTGAAATAACTCTATTTATAATAGAGTTATCACTCCCGTTGTCTGATACGAGAAAATGTGGTACACTAAACCGGCGACTATGTTATTCCATATGAAGTTTGTACATTTCTCCTCCGATATCGTCGTTAGTGGCTCAGCTTCAACCCACTTCATAAAGTAGTCGATAGCTACAATGGTGTACTTGTATCCCCCAGGGGTCTTGTGTAATGGGCCAATGAGATCAATCCCCCATTTAGCAAAAGGCCAAGGAGTGACTATCGACGTTAGATCTTCTGAATGCTGCTGAGGGATGAGGGCGTACCTTTGGCAGCCTTCACGTTTCTTTGCATATTCAGCCACTTCCTTCTTGAGGTCAGGCCAGTAATACCCCTTCCTCAGCACCTTATAAGCTAGGGACTGCCCCCTGCGTGGTTTCCACTTATCCCGTCATGTACTTCTGAGAGCACCCTATTTGCTTCTTCTTCATCGAGGCACCAAAGCAGGGGCGTCGAGAATCCCCTTCAATAGAGAGTATCATCGTGCATGGTGAATCTTGACGCCCGGTACTTTAACTTTTTTGCTTGCTGTTTGTCTTCTGGGAGTTCACTGTCAACCAAATATCTGATGATTGGGTCCCTCCAGCTCGGCTGGCAACTCATTGACATGACTTTAAGCTTTCCCTTGGTAGAAGGAGCTTTTAAGGCCTCTACGGGTACTAGCTTCAACAGCTCAGCATCGTTTGAGGTGGCTAGCCTGGCCAGGGCTTCAGCATTGCTATTTTCTGCCCTTGACACTTGCTGTATGTCGTAGGCCGTGAGTTTTTCTAAGGCCTTTTTAACCTTCTTAAGGTAGGCTGCCATCTTTTCATCCCTGGTTTGATATTGGCCTTTCACTTGGTTCACGACTAGTTGTGAATTGCTGAAGATGTCTATAGCCTCCACTTTTAGGTGTTCTGTCAACCGGAGTCCAGCTAGTAACGCATCATATTCTACTTCATTGTTGGATGCGGGGAATTCAAACCTGACGGCTGAGGTTATTTTGTGACCCTCTGGGGTATGTAATACCAACCCTGCTCCGAAGTCGTTGTCGTTGGAGCTTCCGTCGACATAGAGTTTCCATTTGAGTGGCCCACCAACAACCTTTGCTTCATCTGGTACCCCCATGAACTCAGCAACGAATTCGGCTAGGGCTTGGCCCTTGATGGCTATCTGCGGCTTGTAATCAATGTCAAACTGGCTGAGCTCTATGGACCACTTAAGGAGCCTTTTAGAAGTGTCAGGCTTTTGCAAGACCTGCCTAAGACGATGGTTCGTCAAAACCTGAATGCTATGGACCTGGAAATAGTGGCATAGCTTTCTCGACGTCACCACTAGCACGAGGGCGAGCTTTTCCATCTGTGGATACCTCATCTCTGTGTCAAGGAGGCACTTGCTAGTGTAATACACTGGCAGCTGCACCTTATTCTCTTCGCGGACCAACACCGAACTAACGGCATGTTCAGAGACCTCCAGATACAGGCTCAGCACCTCTCCGGTCGTAGGCTTGGACAGTATGGGTGGCTTCCCAAGGTGCTCCTTCATTTTTTGGAATGCATGTTCACACTCCTATGTCCATTGAAACGGCTTGCTTCCTCTCAAGGTGTCAAAGAATGGTATGCACTTATCTATAGATTTAGAAATTAACTTGTTGAGTATGGCAATACAACCCGTTAGCTTCTGGACTTCTTTCGGTTTTCATGGTGATTTCATGTCGAGGAGCACCTGTACCTTTTCTGGATTACCCTCGATTCCTCGACTGCTCACCATAAAACCTAGAAATTTTCTCGATTTGACCCCGAACACACACTTAAGGGGATTTAGCTTCATCCTATACTTCCGCGGGACATCAAACATTCCCTTAATGTCTTCCACATGATCCTCTGACTTCTTGCTCTTTAGCAGCATATCATCCACATATACCTCCATCATTTTACCTATTTGTTTTGCGAACATCCTGTTGACCAAGCGTTGATATGTTGCTCCCACATTTTTTAGGCCAAAGGGCATGACCTTGTAGAAATACAGGCCCCTGTCGGTGATGAATGATGTGTGCTCTTCATCATGGTGAAACATTAGAATCTGGTTGTAGCCAGAATAGGCATCCATAAAACTCAGGTGTTTATACCCTACCGTGGCATCGACCAGCTGATCTATCCTCGGGAGCGAGAAGATGTCCTTTGGATAGGCTTTATTTAGGTCACTGAAGTCGACACAGGTCCTCCACTGTACGCTGGGCTTTAATACTAGTACACAGTTTGAAACCAACTCGGGGTACAGAACCTCCCGGATGAAGTTGTTTCTTATTAACTTGTCGACCTCCTCCCGTAGAGCTTCATATCTCTCGGCATTCATTGGTCGACGCTTTTGCTCCTTGGGGGGATACTTCTCATCTATGTTGAGTATGTGACTCATTATGTCTGGGTTTATGCCCTCCATGTCCTCGTGGGTTTAGGCAAACACGTCAGGGTTGCTCCTAACGAATGCTATAAGCCTTTCCCGGCTATGTTCTTTAAGTTCCAAGCCTACCCTTAGTTTTCTTGTAGGCTGCTTTTTGTTAATGGGGACCTCAATCAACTCATTGACCGGCCCCGTTCCTGTCTCTTCATCCGAGAGTCTTGGATCGAGGTCGATCTCCTCTGCTTTGGTTACTACCATCCTCATCTCTCTTCTCGCTTGCGCTGGCTCGGCGTAGTGACAGACTGTCTCTGAGTATGTGAGCCTCGACTCGTACTGGTTTCCCCTGACTCATATGATTCTGTTGGGGGTCATAAATTTCATCATTTGATGATAGATCAATCTGACTACTTTCAATGCCCTCAGCGTCGGGCGCCCTATGACTGCGTTGTACTGGTCACCTCCCTTCACCACCAAGAACTGTGACATAACGGTCAAGGTGTGTGGTCGGTCACCAATTGTCAAGGGTAGTTCTATCATTCCCTCAGGAACGACGCAATCCCTGGTGAAGCCGTTCAGGGGTTGCGTGTTATTCTGCAGTCTCGCTCAAGGGATCCCCATCTTGTCGAGGCAATCGGCGTACATAATATCTTCTGAGCTACCATTGTCCACTTGGATACGGCAGACCGTGTGGTTACCTATCATGGCCTCCACTACTAGGGCATCACTTTGGGGGAAATGCACCCCATTTGCATCCGCCTCTGAAAACGTTATCTCGGCCTCTTCATATCTTGCGGCCTTCGCCTCTCATGATCCTCCGGTTGAACTTTTCCTTCACCTCCCTTGCGTACTCTTTCTGTGCACGGCGAGAGGCACCACCAAGATACGGCCCTCCGAAGAGTGTCCTCGTCACGCCGACAGGTTCAGGGGGATGGTCTTGCCTTTGGTCCTCCTTTCGGTCGTTGTTCCTCCGATTGTTATTGCCCTATCTGTCAGCTCGATACTCACTGAGCGTCCCTTCCCGGATCAACCTTTTGACCTCATCCCTTAGGTAAAAACATTTGGTGGTCGTGTGCCTGCTTTCACTGTGAAACCTGCAATACTTGTTTTGGTTTCTCTGCGCTGGGTCAGACTTGAGCGGCGGTGGGCAATGCAGTACCTAGAGGTGACTGATCTCATGATAGACGTCCTTGATCCCTATGGTTAAAGGGGTGTAGGCATCATACTTTTGCGGTTTGCCTCACTTGGTATCCCCCTGCCCCACCGAGGCATTGCCGCCCCTGTTGTTTACGGTCGGGTTATACCTTTGCTCTGTTTGCACCTGAGGATTACCTCGGTTCTTCTTGCCATTATTCTAGTGGCTTGGATGTCCTGCTTTTTCTTTGGTGGGGGCCACCACCTTGCTCTTTAAGGCCTTTTTGGCCTCTCCAGCGTTAATGAATCCCTAGGCCCTCACCAGGAATTCTTGGTAGGTCTGGGGTGGTCTTCGGTTGAGGTCTGTATTGTACGAGATGTCCTTCTTCATGCTCGATAGGGTCCCTATCAAAGCTACCTCATCGGAGATCCCCTCGGTGGCGGCCACTTGTTCTCTGAACTGGGCTATCTAATCTTTTAGGGACTCGTTTGGTCCCTGATACACCCTCAAAAGGTTTTGCTTCGATGGGATGTACTTTTTGACACCTATGAACTGAGTCAGGAAGGCGTTCTTCAAGTCATCTTAGTTGGTTATGGAGTTTGGTTTTAGGGACCTAAACCATCTCCTGGCGGAGTCAAAAAGATGATTTCTGAACACCCAGCACATGACCTCCTCGGGGTATCCGTGTAGGAGCATATGCCCCGTGTAGACTTCCCGGTGGTCATCCGGATCACTCCTTCCATCATATAATGGAATAGGTGGCAGCTTATACTTATCGGGCAATGGTACTTGGATGATGTTCTCTGTGAATGGGTGGTCGTGAGACATATACATCTTGGCGTCGACATTTACGGCCTCAACCACCTTTCCCACAACATGCTCAAAGTTATTTTGCTGACTCCCTATTTGCGTTTCTAGCATGGCCATCTTCTCGGCCAGGGTTTTATTCTTGGCCGTGAGCTCTTCCTCCCTGGTCCGCTGTACGTCTCGGTCGCGTCGAGCGTTCAGTCGCTCCCTCAGGTCTCCTCCGCATACGAATGAAGATTCTACCAGAACTGCGTTCCTCCAGTTCACGTTCTCCTGCGGTTGAGGAGGTACCTCTCGGTCATTTGCTGTCTAGGCCGCGGTCCTCTTCTAGGCTCTCCTCCTGGAAGCTCATTGCCTGCTCCACATAGATCTATTTGACTTGGCTGGGCGGAGGTTGTTGGCCCCACTGTCACTGACTCCCTCGGCGTCACTACGTCGGTCACCAATTACTTGGTTCCCGACAGCGGCGTTCACCGGGTTCATCGGCGCATCCTCTAACGGCGGCATCGAATCTGGCCTTTGCTCCCATCTGGCGAGGGCTATGGCCATCCTCTCTACGACAACAGTAAGTGTTTCGACCTGCCTTTAGAGTTGGTCAAGGCGATCTGGGGGTTCCCAGTGGCCGGTGGTTGTGCCCTGCGGTTGGGCCGTGCCCCTGCTGGTTCCTGACCGCCGTTGGGCGGATTCGTCAGATTCTTTCCTCCGACGGCAGGATTCTGGCCTTCCTGGCTTTTCTGAGTTGCCGTCATGCTGCGGGTTTTTCTCGGAGGAGCCATATTCACTACTTACTGTTGGATTGATTTCTGGATTTTTGGCCTTCCTTCTAGCGCTAGTTGTTGACAGTGGATTTCTGTCAACTAAAGATTAACTCTCTGATAACACTCACAGCAACCTCTCACGGATTAATTAAGGGTTAATGTTGCAAAATGATATAGAGAAGACAAGAATTTATAGTGGTTCGGTAAGATTTCTTGGCCTAGTCCACTTGTGGATGCAGTAATACTTTGTTGATTACAATCTCTCTAGAGTAGTAGAATAGTGCGTAAAAAACTTAATGAATTCCCATGGCTCTATTTATAGGCCTTGTACACATGAGAGACCTCCTCTACATTTCCTGAGGAAATCATCCTCTATCCCTTAATTCTGGGATTTGGGAGTTGTATTTTCATGATTACGGCTTCTAGGTCAGGCTAACCACCCTTATCGGCTACCTGATTTCCTGACTGCGACAGTAGTGGTTGGTACAATGCATCTTCCCTTGAGTTGACAGGACTATCTTTGGATTGGACCGGGCTGCTACCTCGACGTCGTGACCCCCACAACTCAAGCGAGGTTCTCGACGCCTGTTACCCTACATGAACTCTCGACGTATACAGGGCGCCTTAAGTACCGTCGTCCCCTCGATGCCAGCGACCGATTCTCGACATGGAGGCCTCGGCGCTTGTCGTCGAAAGGAACGATCGATTGCTTAACCGTGGTGTAACAGAACTCCTCCGAAGGTCTTTCAAGGCGAACAGCTGATGGAGCTTCACTTGGAAAATGATTAATGCACGAAGATTCTAGCACCAAGGCCAAATCAACCAGTTCCCCGATTCCCATTCCCCCTAGTAAGCCAACTTTAGCTTTTCATGTAGACATTTTTGTTTGGCTAACCACATCTTCGTACTGGCCTAAATTTATTTATCCTTACCCTTGTTCTAAGATGGATTGGAGTTTAGAAACATATATCATGAGCAAGGAATTTGATTGAAAATTTGGGTTGGGAAGAAGAGATAAGTGTGGGGGAAATTTACAAATCAAAAGAGGAAAAGAAAGGGAAAAAATTGTGAACAGCTAGCTCGGGAGAGATAGAAAAAAAAAAAAAAAAAAAAAAAAAAAAAAAAACAACAACAACAAAAGAAAACGAAAAAAAAAGAAAAAAAAAATTTGAAGAATTCAATTGAAAAAAAAAAAAGTGTCAAAGTATGAATAAAGGCTCTCTGAGCTAAGGAAATCATTACCGGGATTGTGGCAAGGTTGGTTAGAATGAAAAGAGAGCCCAACACAAGACATTTGGCTCGTGTTTTTATGTTACACTTGGGATTTTGAGAGAGATTCCTTGGAAATTTTTGATGCCTCTTACTCCGTCAAGTTTTTAGAACCTTTACTACATCCTACTCCCGTCACTTCTCTTAATCACTACCCCTTGGCACCATTACAATCCATA